GGATTTAAATTTCTTATGTTTTTAGCTTCTGTTTTGGAATTTATTGACATTTAAATGAGATATTGTGTGTGTCACTTATCTGCCATCTATCTCCAACTTTCAGCTGAACTCAAAATGTCTTTTTAGTTAGGCTTATAAATCTGGAGGGAAAGTTGTTAGTGTTGCTGCTGAAAAACAGTGGGGGGTTTTTTCCCCCAGATGACTTGCTGGAGGTTCGGGAGGAGGTTGAAAGGGGATATATTGATTGGGGCCAACCTTGTAGTTGTTCTGCCTCCAAGTCATAGTGGACCTTTTCCAAAATAAAAGGGAGGTAGTTTGCCACTTTGGTTGCTTCCCTGTCTTTAACCACTTTAAATACATCAACCTCCTTCAACCTGGTGTCTTCCAGATGTATAGGGCTACACAATTTATCAGTTAGCAGGTTATGACAGATTGTGCTACGTCTAGAGGGCACCATGTTGAAGAAGGCTTGTCAGCATGGGGCATTGAAAGGATAGAACAAATTGATTCAATTTAAATTGGAAAACAGTTGCTCTGCCATCCAAAAATTGAATATTTCAATAAAAACAATATTTGGGGAAAATAGAGAAAGATCAAATTAGGGAAATGAAATCTATGACAAGTTAGAAAAAAGGAAAATAATGAAGAGCATGGATATAATTCTGGTGATTTATACTCCCTTTGTTTAACTTAAATGAATAGTTTAAAAATAAAATTGAATGATAAAAATTGCCTTTGCCCATTTTAGTTTTTATTTGTCTAAAACGGAAGCATTTTCTTTTAGTTATTATGGTAGGGAATTGAAGCCAGTGTCCTGTAGGTTCTAATATAATCACTGTTCAGAACAATAAAAAGTAGATGACTTCCAGTACTTGGATGCTATAGGGCATGTCCCTTGCAGTGATGTGGGAGCTTTGCCAGATACCAGCTTAGGATGCTTTGCAGCATATTTTTGAGCCAGAGTAACATTAGCCAGATTTGCATGCTGAGTGCAGGTGTGCTTGTTCCTGTGCGTGCATCTGTTCTGATCACAACCCAAGGAGTCTTTGACTGGGTGTTGTTCGGGGTGATACCTGGACCTGGAACTCTGGATTTTCTGATGTCAAACAACCTGGAGTTTAAACCCATGGCCCAGGATTTTGGGAAGAACTGCTCAAAACATATGGAGGCCACTGGCTTGCCTTTCTCAAATGTAATGGGGACCAGATTTTCCCAGTATCCTCCTTCCTTCTACCCATTTGTGTTAGTATGGCCTTTCGGATCTAAAAAAATCTGGCAGATGCACTTGAAATGGGGTAGCGTTGGGAGGGAGGATCCAGGAGCCAGGAGCCCTTCAGTTGCTGCTGCGCTCCAGCTCCCTGACTTTGGCCTTATTAGCTGGGTGTGATGGGAAGTTCAAGCTAACAAAACCGGGAGAGCCACAGGTTGTCCAACTTGGATAAATAAATCACTTTTATATTGGAGAAATAATTAGAAGGGACATTAGGTTTTGTACAATGTTTATCTACACCTTAAAATATATTCCTCAGTGTTTTTAGTGTTCACTTATTTATGCAGGAGTAAAAGACTCCCTGCTTATCTCAGAGCAGTGTCCAGGCAATAAAGGCATTTTAAACAGTAAGCAGCAAATCAAATAACCAGACAAGTTGAACAATAGATTCACAGAATTGGGAGAGACGTCAAAAGTTATCTGCTGTCAGTGCAGGAAGTCCATTGCTACACCATTCCTGGTAGGTGACCATCCAGTAGCTCTTCATAACCTCTATTTGAAGGTGAACCAACAGCCTTCTGAAGCACTCAGTTCCACTGTGTACAGATGGCAACATCCAGAAGTTTAGTTGAAATCTGTCCTGTAATTTTATACTCATCAGTTCAAGTCTTGGAACAGCAGAAAACAATTTTATTCTGTCCTCTTGGTGAAAGTCCTCTTGCAAATTTCAAGAAGGGCAATCCATACATCTTAGAAGGAGGGCTTATTGAGTAGCAGTTGCAATTTTGTTTCTTCAAGAGTGAGGAAAAAGGTACTGCTGGTATTGTGTAAGTTCTGAACTTATTAAAAAATGGTCTTCTACATTTTTCTTACAAGTATATCTCTTTTGTAAGTTGATACTCTTCATAGGGAAATAAATGCTATAGTAACATGCATTATCCTATGAAGATTGAATTGATTTCATTGAAGCATTTCTGAGAGAAATATTTATGCTGACATGCTGTGACTTTTGACTGAACTAAGGAGTTTGATATGGAAAACTAGAATATGTTCCCAGTTAAACACAGGGAAAAAAAAGAAAAATTGTTTCAGTTAAGAAGATTGGGAAAGAAGGAATAACTGTTACATGGTATACCTGTACAAGTTATTATGCTACTAAGTGAAAATAAAATATTGTAAAAATATGAGACAAGACCTACAAAAGAGAAGTTAACATTCTGTTTAAGAGTTAAGGGAATGTGGCTCAGTAAACCTGGCAAGTAATCAGGAAAATTTATTGCTTCCCAAAGAACAAAGCTGATAACTTTGGAAAGAAGAATAATTAATTGTTGGAGAAATTCCTTTGTTGTGAGACACACATGGGAGCTGATAAGAAATTATTTAAATATGAAAGAGCAAAATACTGGAAATAGAAGACATTCCAATTTTCCTCATAGAACTCAACATTTGTTCTCAAGTAAGTATATATATCCTCAGAAGAACAAAGGCACCTGTCCGCATTGTCTTCTCCTTTTTGCTACAGGCTCAGAAATGTTATTAGGTAATGCTTTAATCCTGAAAGGCAATGCTCCTAGATGAACTTAACATGTTTAAATTGCCAGAAGTTACCATGTTATGTGAACACAGATACTTTCTGCAGGATGGTTTGTTTGTGGTCAATAAGCCACCCTAAGAACCCAAGCTTCTTGTGGGGGTTGTTGGACCTACACTAAGTTGTTGCGTTGACAAAACCTGGGCGACCAATCCTGCTATATGTACAGAGGAGCAGTATGTGAACTGCTCAGTAACAGTGGCAAAACTTGCTGCTTTAAGTGCCCAAATGCCTATTCATTCATTCATTCATTCATTCATATGCGTACTAGGTGGCTTACAATATTTAAAACATAAAGCTTTGGGGCAACCAACACTGTCTTGCCCTTCCTACCTGTGACAATTAGCTTTTTGCACTCACTGTAGCTTTCCATGCTTTTGTTGGGTTGTTTGGAGATCACTTTCACATGTCCAAAGTGCCCAAGCAGCACATTGGAGGGGCTGTCAGTGGTTTATTCCTCACCACAAATATGTGTCTGTGTGAATTTATGCAGCAATATGGGCAAATATTTTTGGTTGATTTTCCAGGACTGAAAGACTTGCCTCAGCAATGTTCTGTTAAATTTGTGCTGCCAAGTTGCAACCAATAGCGTTGTCTGCAAGAACTTGCAAATAGGTTATTTTGGAATTTTGCATTCATTTAACAGCTGTCAAGGTGTGAACAGAAAGCAAACCTCAAGGGATCTTTGCTTGCTAAAGGGGATGATGACTCCCCACCACAGTGAGATCCTCAAGGTATTTGGAGTTTACCTCATAGTTTGTTGTGTCCCCACCTTTTCCTTATTTTAGGTCCAGTTTAGGGCTTTGTTTAGGTCTAGCACCTGGGGAAAATGAAGATCATAAGGCCACCTCTTTTTCATGAGCATGTCTGATGACAGTATTTCATTTTGCTAATGAAAACCTGGTAAGTCCCTGCATCTGTTTTTGATAGGGAAATACGCAGTCATGAATCAGCTTCAGCCTTGAAGTACCTTGGAATTCTTCCTGGAGGACCAAGGGGTGGGGGACAACACATAGCGAACCTGAATGTCTGATCCATAAACTACCCTCACTCCATAGGGTTATTTACAGGTTGGTTGCTGTGTCATGCAAACTCACCCAGAATATTAATTCCAGAAATACTATGAATGTATATTTCCTAGGTGACATGCTTTTACTTGGAATGTACATAGGATAGTTACCTGTTGGTACGTGATCAAAGCTAATTACCCAAATTCTATAGCAGGATATGCAAAGACAAGTACAAATTGTTCATACTAGGAAAGATGAAAAAGCTCTGGTCTGCAGGTTAATAATCTTGAAATGGAATGTGGGAGGAGTCATGCATCTGAATTAGGTTATTAGGCTGTGCTTGGTTTAAGAAAAACCCTCCAGAATTCAGCAAAGGATACAGCAGAAGTGGGGAACCCGTGACCCTCTAGATGGTGATAGCCTATGACTCCCATTATCCATCAGCATTGGGCAGACTGGATGCTAATTAGCTATTTATATTACCCAACTCATAAAATCAAATGCCATATATTCTATAAATCAAGAGCTTCATTTTACATCAAATATTAATATACCTCAAATAAAAATAAAATGAGAGCTCATTAAAACTCCCCCCTGGTTTGGTGGAGAATTTAAACCCATGTCTGTCTTGCTCACAAACATTACAATTTTTTCCAACTAAGCTTTAGAAATATTATAATCTGGATCCTTTTCCTCTGCATTCATAGTAAATGGTGACTAGAAAAAAGTAAAAAACAGACCAAATCCTGTGTGACTTACCATGTCTCTGGATGTAATGTCCATTTTCAGTCCCTGTGATAGAAATACCTTAGTGATGCTGTTTGAAAGCCAGATAACCTTTGTGTATCAAGAGACTCTATAGCCTTACATATAATAATCTTGTTTAGAGAAGTTGAGGAAATTCTGACTTGGATTGTACATTCCATGAATGGGGTTCCATAAATGAAACAGCTGTTCTTGGATTAGGCTTGCCATTGCTGCAGGGCTAGGGATCTTTGGGACCTTCTGGAACAATGTAGGAGTTAGCAGGAAGTGCTTTAGGGGACATTGGTTTAAATTTGTCCCCCTTTCACTTCTTTTAACTGAAAACATTGTTTATTATTCTTATGATTAAACATAGTTTCCAAACTGCATTTGGATGCCTAGAAACATTTGCAGTAAGGATTTCATACAAGACTGAAAAAAAAAAAAATAGCGGACCTTTGTTGCTGTGTTAGTCTAATTCTAATGAAAATTTGTCTTGGTTCTGCCACAGAGAATGGACTTGAATTCTCAGTAATGGAAATGCTCTAAGTAAGGTGTTGAGTCTTGGGCTCAAAGGATGCTTGTTCTGGTGATACCAGAAGCAGGTAACACGTGTCACTCTTACTGTGATGCCTGAGCATATACATATGCCTTTGTTCATAACTCCCTGGGTTACTGGTCTAGAGAGTCCTGTCTCATAAGCCCTGCTGCTGCTGTTTGCATTTATATCTCACCTTTTCTTCAAGGGGCTCAGGGTGGTACCAATGTTCCTCCATAGTTTTCAGTACAACAACTTTGTAAGTTTAGAGTAGGTTGCAAGACGAAGGGTGAGACAAAGAGAGGACTCGCACAACTGGCTCAGGTTCATCCAGTACCTGCATCTCCCCAGACATAGTCTCAAGTCTAACCACTATACCACACTGACTTTCTACTTGGCAAAATTCTTCTGAGGGCAAGTCATGAACATTGTAACTTGAAGATCAGAACCAATGCAGCAATCTTGGGCCTAGTTGTGGGCCACCAAGTGCTGCATCAAGAATAGAAATACCTGTAGCAACAGTGAGCACCAGCAACATTTGGCAAGATGGAAAAACAGGCAGTTAATCCTGGAGAGGAAACCTGACTAGAAGGGCAATCCATAAGAAGCAAAGGACATCCCAAAAGGTGAGAGTGTGGTTGTGGGGGCAAGGGAAGAAAAGAGGTAGAAGCAGAATCACTTAGGAGAATGGGACTTGAGCCTAGTCTGGACCTCATCACAGTGACAAAACCACAGGCAGACTACCAAAGGGGTCCCTGAGTTAAAGAAGGGGTGGTCTGTGTCTGGATGTTGGGATTATGCAGAAAGGATTTGCCTGCGGCATGATCGTGATGTACGTTGCGCTGAGATGGCTAGATGCAGAGCATCAGGCATGGATTGGCTGCAGCTGCCCACAGCCCTCTAGGAACTTGTAAGAGGAGTTTGTGTTTAAATTCTGTTGGATAATGTAAAGCACTTCAAAGCAGGCTTTTGGGTAAAAATACAGTCCATAAATTGCTAAAGCAGCCTTGTATTCTCCTCTGCCAAAATTCAAGTTTGTCCCAGCTGTTGAAAGCCAGGGAGCAATGAACCACGATGCTTGCTCATGCAAACATGTTTATTCGCTGCCCTCTGCTTCTTACACAGGAGAGTTCGTGTTTCTTTTCTAATGAGCTCCAGTGCTTAACTTGCACGTCTCACATTTGTCTGTTCGTCTCTGTCAATGGTTCTTTTGTGACTGTTAATTTGAATCAGATACTTGATGATGTGGGTGGAGTAGAAACATGCATTCTCAAGGTAGGTTCCAAACAAGAACATGAGAGACATAAACCTGGATTAACTTTTTCTGTGTGTTTTTTCCAGAAATGACCACTTTATTATGGAAGAGTGCCCATCCAATTACTAGAGGCAAGTTTATGCTGCAAAGATCTATGTCTCTCTATGATCATAACCACGGATTTCAGGAGGATGCAATAAAGAAAAAGCTCCAGCAGTTCACTGGTGGATCTGTCAGCCTTTCAAAAGAAGATGATGGCATAGGGACACTTACACTGAATAACACAAAGTTTATGAATGCATTTACAGGTATTAATAATGTTGATATATTTTTCTTTCAGGTATATGCAAAGACAAAAATAACACTGTAACATGTACTATCAGCAGTAAGAACACTTAGCTTTTAATCACAGCATGCTATATGGGTCTTGATAGGGCCTCTATAATAACATTTGATGCATTAGACTTTAGAAAAAACATAGGTGAAAACTATTTGGGAACTTTTACTCATATTAATTAAAGATTCACTCTGTTTCTAATCTGTCATTTACTTAAATGCTTTGAGCATTTTATAAACGTATAAAAGAAAAAATATGAACAGTTCAGAAATATATAAATATAAGAGATATATAAGAAAAGCCACAGAATATAAAACCTAAGCCTATGAAATGCCTGGGAGAAAGAAAAAACTTTGCCTAGTGTGGAAAATATCACAGGGAAGGCCATTTCATAAATGTATGCCCGAGTTCTTTGTTATTTACAGCTGTCATGTTGGATCCAACATAGTCATGTTTAGACTGGACTAACTTAAGTAACATTGATTCCACTGGATCCACTTTTAAGTATGAAAAGGTCAAGACGCAACCTCTTATATATTTATTGTTTTATTTAAGTTCATAACCTGGTCTTGCCCTAAATCTGCAAGTGTTCAGCAGGATATATGACATTTTTCAGTATATAAATATAGCTAGATTATGATCTCATGATTGCCACTGAAAGGCAGACTGAATAAAAGATTTCTCACAAATTGATTCTGGAAAGTGTTTTAATTCGCAGACTTCCAGAGCAAGGGCATTGGAATTAGCGTGAGCATCTTTCTGTAGTGGTTACCATTCTCCCAGTGGTCCCTTGTTGGCAACAGCTGAGCTACCAATAACAATAATAATAATACCTCACTCAGGTGTTAATGTTCTTCCTCGTGCAGTTCGCTGCATCCCCTAGATCTGATTTTGAACACATTTTGAGGGCATGAAGGAAATTGTATGTGGGAAGAAGATTGCCCAATCCCCATCTATTCTGCTGACAGAGGCGGGCTGCTGTTGCTGGGGTGCCCTATTATGTTTTGTATCATACTCATGTTTCGCTGAGATACTTTAATTCCTCACTTTGCAAAGAAAATAGTATGTGTGACCCAAAGCATCATCCTGCATTGCTAGAATAGTCAAGTTGTAAACTTAGGAAGATGTAAATTATGATTGTTGCATCCGAACCTCTGAGGAAAGTGACTCGGCATGTTTAAAACTAGAGTGTTGGTGAAAAGTCTATCTAGTAGGGAATAATAGAAGATAAGAGAGTAGCTCATGTCCAACATGTTTTGAGACTAGAGAGTGTGGTGCCCGTTTTAAATATGAGGAAAGGCTATGGATGTCTTGCCATTTTGCTTTCTCCTTTCTCTCTGTGGTACCAAACCAGATTCAGCACACAGGATGGCTGAGCACTTTTCTCCCACCATCATTTCCCTGGAGACTATTTGCCAAGAAGAAATAGATGGGGCTAATGCAGCCTAACAAATGCTATTCTTTGCGTGATCAACATTTGAACAGGATCTTTTACCCCTCCCCCACCATCATTAATATTAATATGATTACATTTACATCCCACTTTTTTTCCTCTTGTAAGCAGTCTAAGGTGAATTGCGAAGTTTGCCTCCTGTCCATTTTATCTTAACAATAACAATAACAGCAACTTTGTGAGGTCTCAAAGTCTGTGAATGGCTCAAAGTCTTCACGGAAAAGTGGAGACCAAACTCTGGATCTCCTGCATCCCTTTCAAACACTCGAACAACAAGGCCACACTGGCTCTCATTTTAAAATAGCATTTTTGTGTGGCATGCTCTCCAGAACCCCAAAAGAGTTGCCTGCTATAGATGGCAAGTAACCTCCACATCACATGATGTAGGGATGTCACCCATGGTTGTGTTGGCTTCAAATTCTCTGGCCTTCCCCCTGCCCCTTGAGCTAAAACGGGTTTCTCCAACATGATGTCCTCAGATGTTTTGGAATTCAACCTCCATCAGCCCCAGCCTCCATGACTAGTGGGTATGAGCGCCAGCCATTTTAGTGCAAAACTTTTAGAGGGCACCTAGCTTTGGAAGGCAGATAAACCTTTTCAACTTTGCTGCATGTGAGTTGAAGGGGGTTGAATTATAAAGCTTTTAAAACTAGGCTAGATGGTAACAGCATAACCTTTTTCAGTGCTCTTATTTTTATTATAAAGCAACTTGCTGAAGATGTCCCTCAGCTCTTTCTTCCCTTAATTGCAGGAACAATGATGATAGAACTACAGGAACGGATTTCTGAACTGGAAAACTGGAAGGATGGAAAAGGGCTTATCATCCATGGGGCAGGAAACACTTTTTGTTCCGGATCTGATCTGAATGCAGTCAGGGCGTTGTCCAGCCCTCAGGCAAGTGATACCAGAAATTGCTTTCCATGCACTCTTTAAAGTTCTGAACTATTCCTTAGAAAATATGATTGTAAAACCACTGTGCTGCAGATATTACAGTAAGAGAAATATTTATTTATAATAGCAGATACGAATTATTCCATTTTATGTATTTATGCTGAGCAAGTTGTCAGCATTCCAGAAACGAATGACACATTGTAAGTGTGGCACTGAGACACTGGATTTATTACCCAAATTTCCCAAGTTTCACTTGCTAAAACCAAACCAACCAACAACTACTTTTCTTTACTCTTTAAGAATAAGGCACTTTGCAGGTAGGATGATAAGCATGTTTACTTTACCAAGATGTTAAAGAGGCTTGTTTTCTTTCACATGGAGTTCTGTTAATGAGAAAAATCAAAGTGGAGTGAATCTGCTGTTGTAAAAAAGCTCTTTAAACTGAAATGTACCTACTTAGCTTGGAGTAAGCACCATGCACCTGAATGGAACAAAACTTAGAAGAAATAAGCTTCTGTTAGTGTATCTCTAGAGCGTCAATCCTATGCCGGCTTGGAAATAGGTCTTACAAGGGGATAGATTTCTGAATAAGCCTACTAGTGTCAGGCAGAAATTACCAGTATTGAGCTTGCTGCTCCCCTTAGTCCCAGCAGATATTTATCAGTTTTCTTTGGCAAGTAGAAATGATTTTCAAGCTAATGCTTAAACATACTTGGACTTTCCTGGGATCTGTAAATTTCCTGGAACTGAGGGTGAAAGAGATGGCTGCTTTTGTTTATGATGGTGACTGGTTCAAGTCTTGCTCTCAGAACTGGCTTCAGTATGATTCTGCTCCTACTTTCCCAAGTCCAGTTTGCAAAGATGAGAAATCTATCTATCACATTTGTATGCCACCCCATAGCTGAAGGCTCTCTGGGTGGTTCATTCTGTGTGTGTGTGTGAAACAGATAAAAATAACAATAACCACAGAACATGGTAAAATTAAAATACAGTGTACATACAACCATAGAAATAGGCATAAATTTAGCCTAATTAGGTCAAAGCTCTTCCTCAGCAACAGGCTTGTTCTGGCATTTTGAAAGTGTGTCTTTTGGGACTTGATATTGATGAATTCCATTTACCAAAAACAAGCTTCCAAAATAATTTTGGTGGGCATGTAAAAATTAATGGACCCAATCCAGCCAAAAGAAGGACTTGACTCACTGAGTACAATGGAAGAGTTATCCATAGTTTTTTCAGTTTTTTCCTTTCTGTACCCATTTGGATTTAGCTTTGACTGAATTGTTTCTTTGGTGTTGAAATGCAGTGATGGCTGGTTTTTATTTGTATTGAAATATTAGAGTGATTTCTAAATATCTCAGAAATAATAGCCCTGTCTGTCTTAGAATTCTTGGTTCTCTCTTGCCTTTAGTTTTTTTCCTGTTGTGAAAGACGGACGCATCCATTCATTTTTTCCCTTCATTAATACTGCTCCCACTACAATTTTTTTTAAAAAATACCATACTGAAGTATTGTCCTGAGAACACTGAAGAAATATGAAGATGCGAGTCATACTTTGTTAGTTGGATCATATGAGGACTTGGTGTGGAAGGGAAAATACAGATTAAAAACAATGTCCTTACTGGAAATGTCAGAAAAGTCTTTTTACTGATGCATAATTGTGCATAATGCATGCTGACACTTCATAAATATGACATCCATCATATTGGCATGTTAGAATCTCAGTAGGGTGTTTTGAAGCTGACTCCAAAAAAAAACCCCACGGTTGAACTTTGTTTAAAAGAGAGAGGAATGTGTAGCAGTTTCCTTGCAGTAGGATGAAACCAGGTATGAAAAGGTCACTCATCTCATGCTTTGGCTACTTAGCATGACCTTGTTATAGCAACATTAAGATAGCACGAGTAGCAAGAAAGGGGGCAGTATGGCTCTACTGACTTGACCAGAAGCAGGGATGAAGATGCCACCCAAAAAATGGCTCAGGGAGCTCATCTGCTATGAGCAACCCAGTTGCCCCAGAGGCTGGCCCTTTCCTCTGACCAAGCAGACCTTTTGTTTTGCTAAATCCATGGGGGTTCATAGAACTGTTGACTACGATCACCACCTGTTGTGTCCAAGCCTGTCCACTTTATGCCATTGTTGGCGTTTAATTCATGCACTATTGACAATGGACCATGTTCCACAGTCTGTGGTTCTAGTTGTCAGACAAGAGTTAACATCAGCCAACTGTTTCACTGTGCAGAAACCCAGATGTTTGAAGATCATTAATGTGGCTCTTTGTTTCCAAACTGTCTACTATAAATACTTGGTTTTTTAATTTTTTTCCTTGCCCCACTGAACACATTCATCTTTGTAATCACTGGCAGTTTGGACATCTATTTTGGCTTTGTGTACAATAGTATTTCTTTAAGTTAGTAAATGCTATGCTTTTCTTCTCTAGTTCTCTGAAAGCCACTTTTTAATTTTGTTTCCAGAGCAAAATATATATATATATATATATATATATATATATATATATATATATATATATTCCCTTTTACTTTATTTTTATGTGGGATTTATATCATGCCTTTCATTATTAATTGTTCTGTAAGGTGGCTTACAAGAATTAAGATTTAATTGTACGGTGGCTTACACGAATTAAAAAAAAAATTAGAATGAGCACTAATTCAATAACCAGGCAACAATGAAAATCACAGAAGAATCTGCCTCCACAGTCATTCTGCCTCCCTCTGGGTAAAAGAGAAGGGGGAAAGTATTTTTAAATAAATAAATATAAAGAAAAACAGAAGAACAGCAGATTGAAAACGAAGTGCCTCATCTCAAGACTTTGAATGTTTATATTGGACAAGCCTGTATGTTTTCAGAACTGGCAAGTGAATACCTCAGAGCCAAACCCTGTTTCTGCTGAAGAAGAAATCCCCATGGCCTTGTTTTCCTTCCCAGCCCATGGCAGTGCAGGGCTACCTCATGGCAAAGCTATTTTGAAACTTTTTTGTGCCTCACTCAGCCCAAGATAAGTGTCAGAGAACTCGCCATATCTGTCAGGAGTTTTACTATGCAATTCTTCACCTTTAGACTCAGAAGTAATCTGACCCAACTTTACGGAGATTTCCTCCGGATAAGCGCATATTGTAGGGGTAAACGATGCATGGTCCAAGGTTCACATGTGATCTCCCCTGGACTTCGCTGCATCCCCAACCAAACAGTGATTTTGCCTGAAGCAGGAGTGCAGTTTTACAAAACCACATGCTCTGCCACCCCACTTTGTCCTGTCAAATTGCAATGGCAAATTTGGCCATGCAGTGGTGGGAGCAAGTGAAGTTGACCACCCTGGCTCTATAGGATTGCAGCCTTGGTGTTTTATTTCTGACTTTTCTTCAAAGACAAAAGTAGAAATCAGTCGGTGAGTCTGCCAGTTTTGGATTCTGCCTTCCTGCCCTCCCATTTTATGTATTTACCTACTTTGAAGGTTTTATTTTTAAGGAGACATTTCTCTAGGAAAACCACTGTTTATATATATAAACTTGACATGTGACAGACAAATAGACTGACACATTTCCATATGTTTGTATATCTTGGTATTGACTTTAAACACTGCAGACATGATGGGAGATTTTCCACATGTAGTTAAGAGCACATAAACTAGGCAATTTGTTCAGGAAATGTACCCTGTGCAAGTTCAACTGAAATGCAGAGGAGGTAACATTCCAGCTGGGTTATTTCCTTTGAGCATTAGCATTGCTAGGATAATTGAATCTGTTTTTCTTCTTTCCAGGATGGGATGCACATGTGTATGTTCATGCAAAATACCTTAACGAGACTCATGAGGTAGTGTGCCTTGTTTTTGATTTAGTTTTGCGTGTTTCACTTTTAAAATGTGCAGAACTAGAACAGGAGTTTCAACAACAGGTTTAAATGACATACTACATGTCAGTTTGGGAACTTTGGGAAACTGAACATGTGCTTTTTCCAAGCATATCTGACATTTTGAACATGCTGAGTTACACATTTTTGCCAAGCAACAAAGCCCCTTGGTGGCAATAAGCCATCGGAAACTAGGAAGTGTTGAATACTTTTGAAAATATATGGACTCCTCTTTTCCTAGTCACCTGTCCTCCTGCCATAGAGATCAGTCATCTTTAAAAAGTTGACAAGCAATCTTTACAGCCTACAGTCATACCTGGAAGGAACATGTGCAAAGGAGAAGAATGTTAGTGTAATGCAAAATAACAAGTAAGGTTCTTTTTCTCCAGTATTGCTTAGTATCTGCTCTGTGTTCAGGAATCCATATTTTCTTGCATTTAGCACTGTGGATTATTTCTGACCTTCATTTTATTAGGGCTTTCTTGTAATATGTCTGACCTGAGGGACAGAACATGAGAAAAATTCCTATATGCTTCTGACATTTAATCCTGTTTCTCATTATTTAAAGACATTTCTCTGAAATGGTCTAAATTTATTGCTCTCATGAACTTGGTCAGAGGTTTGGAGTTACTGTACTCCAAGGTCATGGAAGAATAGTGTGACTGACCATGATAGGTTGTTAGGTGAACTGGGAAAAAGTACTTAGAAAATTAATTTTGTCACAACCTCCTTGGATGCTGCATAATCTCTGCATTATTTTTAGAGTTGTTTTAAATGCTCTGCAGGCTTTTACCAGGACATGTTTGAAGGAATAGCTTTAAAATCTAATTCTGTACGCAGAATTTGGGTCTGTTTAAACTTTTTGTTCAGTTTGAACCCTGCTATTACATATTATTACAATATTAGTATTAATTATAAGTAATATATTAGCAATAATTTGTGTTGGCATTCTGAACAAGTTGTGGAGTAGACTGTGTAAACTGTCTATAAAATGCAGGGGCTAAGCTTCTTTCCACCAGCCTTTCCTTAAAGAAAATTAAGCTCCCAGAGTAAATAGTTTTCTAAAAGCCTCATACTACACACCAACACATTTCCTTGTATCACATTATTCATGGTCACATTAAAATACATAATAATTATGCTTGTCTCTGAACTATCCGAAAAACATGGACAGTTGCATACTGCTTATACACTGCCTGCACTGGTTGGTGTACCAGGAAAAAATGTGAGAATAAAGAGAAAATATCTAATCCTGTAATTGAGACTGGATATATCTGATGAAAGTTGACTCGGAATATGTTGTGATTTTAGATGTGAGAATGTGAAAGTGAGAGACTCAAACAACATTTCTTTGACATTTTAAGGATAAACATTATAAACATTTTATGTATAATATTAAATAATTCACCCTAACTTGTTAAATAAAATGAACAGTTCCAATTGTCTTCATAGAATCCTGAAAGATATCACAAAAGTTACTCGAACCAGTCTTCTGCCTGCACAGAGTATTCACTACTACAGCATCCCTGATAGGTAGCCTTCTAGTCTCCAGCAGAACCTCTGATGAAAGAAAGTCTTCAACCTGTTCCACTGCTGAACAGCACATCCTCTGAGGAAATTCTTCCCAGTGTTTAGTAAAGAAAGCCAAAAAACAAAACCCAACCTTTTAATTTGAACCTGTTGGTTTTGGTCTTATGCTCTGGAGTAGCAGAAAAACAATTGAACTCCATCTGTTTGCTAAATCTTCAGGTATTTAAAGCTGGCTATCATATTGCCCCTTCATCTTCTCTTTTCCAAGCTGAATACACCCAAGTCCCTCAATCTTTCCTCATAGGACAGTCCTCAGGTCCAGCACTATTTTTGTTGCTTTCTTCTAGACCATTTCAGTTGGCAGATATCTTTCTGAAGCTATGGTATGCAGGACTGGACACAGTATTGACCAAAACAGAATAGGATGGTACCGTTATTATATTTTATGATTGTGGACACTTCTTTAGATGCCATCTAGAATTCCGCCTTTTTAACTGATGTATACCGCTGCTATCTCAAGGTCTGCTTAAAATAATCCACAGAGTTGTTGCACACATACTGCTGTCAAGCCAGATCTTTAATTTGTTTGTTTATTTAATTTCTATACTCTGCAGTAGTCCAAGGTCTCTGGGCAGTTTACAAAAGTTCCTAACGGGACCACAATGCAGTAAAAAAACATACAACTATCTTCCCTAGAATACAAAATTTTAAAAGTTAAAGAACACTTTAAAAAAAAGGATAATGGCTAAATGGTTATTATTCCAAAATAATATTAATAAATAAATATTGGTTAACTTGTTAAATATTTTTGCCCTGTTCTCCATCCAGTCAAGATTATTTTGAATTCTGTTTGTATCCAAAGTGTTAGCTATCCCTCCAGTTTTGATGTCATTGAAAAGACCACACCTTGGGGATCTGTGAGATATTGTTTCCTTAAGTAAAAACTGAAAACAGAGCATATTCCATACATTTATACACATTTTGCACTGTTCATTTTACATCCTTTCCATGGTAGTCCCACAGAATATTTTCATATGTTTTAAATCACCTTTCAGTTGTTTTGAGAGATCTGACGCCCAAATTGGGCCAAAAGAATCTAATCTATAGCTCCAGATTCCAGCACTGACTGAGTATAAAATTCAGTTTTGGGGTTCTTCCTTTAAAAGAACCCCACATACAAAAAGCTGCAGAATTTTGTGTGGCGCTTTGACCCAAGTTTGGAGCGGGTAGTGTTGTCTACCAAAAAATACAGACATTTATGCTTTCCCCAGGAAGTGGCCTGGAAATGCCACAAAATGGCCCTTATCATATGGCCTATCTAGATGGAGACATGCTCTCTGAGCTGTGAGCAGTGGGAACAGGTAAGTGACTTCTCAGCACTAATATAAGCATCTAGCATTCTTCAATCCCCTCTTCAGAGATTTGCTCCACATTCTGCACCATACATACAGATACGCATTATCTACAGCCAACTCGGCATGACATTTTTTTTTAAAGGTGTCAGTTATAGTGTTACATAAGCATGAAAATCATTTCAAATTATTCAGTGTCACATTTCTAGTTGGCTTCCTATGTCTTTTCAGCCTTGTAATGTATATACACTTAATCATAAGCTTGCTTGCTTTTCCAAAATAATGATTTGCCCTGATTTGAATCGTTCCCCTTCTGACGGTTAAAAATTTGTACTGTTTTTCTGTGTACATTTTTTGAAATGCATCTTTCTGGCTTCTCCCTTTGTCTAGGTTACCACTAATTACAGTTGCATTAGTTCAAGGGAAAGCCCTGGGAGGAGGAGCAGAACTAACTACTGCGTGTGACTTCAGGTAAGATTAAAAACTTCACTGAGTAGACAAGCACGTTAGGAGTAATTAGGAAAGGCACTGGAAATAAAACTGTCAATCTCATACTGCCCTTATACCAACCTGTGATGCAGGTTAGATATCATGTCCAGTTCTGCTCAGTGTAAATTTGGAAAAAGTATCAAAAAGGGCAGCTAAATTGATCAAGGGCCTGGAGTAACTCCCTGTGAGGAACAGTTACAACGGCCGAGATTGTTCAGCTTAGAAAAAGTGCAAGTGGGTGGAAACATCGTAAGTGTACAAAATTGTGTGATGGTTGGAGAAAGTAGATAGTGAGATTATACTTTTCTCATAAAATTAGAACATGGGGTCATCCTATGAAGCTGATTTTGGTGGGACATTTAGGATAGAAAAGAGGAACTGTGGAATTCACTTCTACAAGATGTAGTCATGGCTACTAATTTTGATGGCATGGGAAGGCACTGGACAAATTTAAGTAGGGTAAGGCTTTTAATGGCTGCTAATCCTGTGGGCTCTATGCAGCCTCCAGTATCAGAGGCAGTATACCTATGTTCACCTGTTGCTCATGGTGAAAGGGTGCTCTTGCACTCTTGAAGATCCCAGAGTGTTGGACTAGACTGGCTGGTCCTGCATTGCTGTTCTTCAGACTTTTCCCTTTAAAAAATCAGTGCAGCAGACCCAGTGCCTAGCTTTCTTACAAAGATCCTTGTAAGAATTCCACCACTCTTCTCCCCCACATAGGTCCTGACTACCAGGAATATATAAGAAATCCTTCCCTGGTTTCACCTTACGCTTCTAACTGGGATGATGACAGTGATAATGGCTTGCCTCTGCAGGTGCTGCTTATCCACATGTGAACCTTTATGTATTGTTATTCAAAAGGAAATTATACTGAAAGACCAATGAGTCAGAATTAAACATGTTTATGAATTGTGTCACACCACACATGTTAACTGACTGGTCTGATTTCAGAGTGTTTGCATTAGAGCACAAACTGTGCTATGAATAATGTTGTGATTACCAGTGTTTGCATTTAATTTTCTCCTGCCCTCTCTGTTCCAATTCTTCCAGGCCCCACAGCATAGATACTGTAAATAAACCTGAAATTCTCCATGATACTTTAAGCATGTGGTGAAATGGACTATGATCCACAAATTTTATAGCAGGATAACTTTGCTGGTCTTTGATGTGCCACAAGACTGTTTTAGCCACAGTAAAAACAAAAAACTTACAATGCCACATGAAGGATTCCCTTGTGTTTCAGAGATATGGGACAGACACTACAGATATCTCTTAAAGTGCCTTTCAATCTGATGTTGGCGCATTCTGATTTACGAAAAGCATTATTCTGACTGGAAGGGCCATGGTGGAATGTGATCTGCAAGCAGAATGGTGGGGTGGGGTGGCTTATTGACTTGAAAGGTTGGATGTGTGGGCCAATCAAAGTCTTTCCAATGGAGTCTCTCACTGTCATTCCTAACCGTTGTGGGTTTCTAGATTATGTCTGTCAGCATTCTGAATTCTCCATATATTGTACTGCTTCATGGAATGCCGTATGTCGATATTTTATTCCCTTTTAGTTTCATCATGCTTTAGTTAACTGTCATCTCTGCTGGTATGCATTTCTGTTTCACGTTTCATTGTGTTTTTAATACAATATTTATATCAGCAATTTCTATCAGTTATAATTTACAATATAGGTTTAACTTTATTGCCGTCTGTTTCTTCCCTTATTGTTAGGTTCACTTCACCCACCCCACTACTCTTTTGTGTGTTTATCATTTGGCTCATTAACTAATGACCAGAGCTTAGAACACTGTAGGACATAGATGTCAGAGCCTCATAATGGAGTCCATGTAATTAGATAACTGACATTATATAATTTTGGCATAAAACCCTTACTGAGTTATTTGGCACTGACTACAATGAAGTCAGAATAGCCTGGTGAAGACACAATTTTTCAACTTCCTAAAAACATTTAAAAATAGCTTTGCTTTAGCCACACAGTTTGGATATTACTGTATAATTACAAGCATGGAACACTGTATAATTACATGCTTGCCCGAGGTGAGAAGCTTTAGTTTGATATGCCATGTTTAATTATTCTCTTAGCTGAAGATCTAGCTTTTGTTTCAATTACTTAAAATTCCACCCAGTGCTTCTTGCAGTAGCATGGAAATGGAAGAAATTGGGTTGTAATGTAGGCCTGCTCATTCGATTCCTAATCAGGCGCACTTGCTTCTTTTAAGAACCTAAGAAGAGCTGTGCTGGATCAGACCACAAGCCTATGTAATCCAGTGTTCTGTTCCTTTCCTGTGGTCACCAAGGAGAGACCTCTGGGAAGTCTGTGAGTTGGACATAGCTACCCTCGGCTTATGTTCCCCAGCAACTTGTGTTCAGAGCCACACTGGATCTGATAGAGGAAATAATAGACAGTCTACTAGCCATTGATACCTTTATCTTCCAAGCTGCTTCTGCTTCTTTTCTTTAGGCCTCTCAAACCTTTTAATGGTAATGTAAAAATAAAGAAAACCTAGAACAAGCAGACTCAGGTAACATTGAAGCTGCATGTAGGTCATTGTTGGTATGATTATGTGATAGGGTTGGAGGCAGTAGTGAAGCTAGCTTATATTAGACCCTTAACTTAATGGTCTTTTTTGGATTCCCTTTAGATGATCATATTACTTCAGTTGTAAAGTGGGCAATAAGTATTTCTTTATTTCTTACTCCCACTGCCTTTCCATGCATTACAACTGGGATTTTAGAATAAAATATTGAGAGAAATGTTTGCCCATTGGCTATGTTATAGGTGGACTTTTGGGGGCACCTAGAACTGCATGGTCCTCGACCCCAAGGTCGAGCCCAAGCTGCACCAAAATGCAGAGCAAGAATACAGTGAACAAGCGCTACCCAGCTTCTGCTTAAAGACCTCCAGCAAGGAAGAGACAGTAGCTGTTTTATTATCAAATGCTTTTTATTAAGCAGTTCTAATGTTCGGCTAAAACCTAACCCCTTCTAGATTAAGCCCATAAATCTAGCCCTGCTCTCTGGACCAGTATGTGATAAATCTTTGCTGCATTCAGTGTGACAGCTGCTTTCCAGTATTTGAAGAGTGGCATCATGAGGCTTCTCTTCCCCTTCCTTCTTTTCTTTAGGCTAAACATACCAAGTTCCTTCCACTTTTCTTTGTAGGCCTCATTTCTTCTATCCTTGACCATAATTGTTACCTTCCTTGAACACATTCCAAATCCTCTGTGTTCTTCTTAAAATGCATTACACAGAGGTGGACACAGTACTCCAGATAAGATCAGATTAATGCAAAATAAAGTGGAATTCTTGCCTCCCATGATGTGAAAATACAGTTTTGTAAAGGTAGTCTTTTAAAAAAAGTTGCTGCTGCATCCCAGCCCTGACCTGCATTCAACTTGTGATCAATAGCATTCCCAAGATTGCTATTGCTAAGCCAGTTGTCTCCCTGTTCTTCTGTACTGTTTTGACTTAAATGCAGAGCTTTGCGTTCTTTGTTAGTTTCATTTGTTTTTCATTTTATTAAAATCAATAACTTATACAAATGTAAAAGTATTAGGCCCAGGAGAGAGCAGCCCCGCTCAAAACCTCTCTCTAGTTTGATCGTCAGTCTCTCAGTATGGTTCTCCAGTCAGCTGTGAATCGGGCACCTACCCTGCATTTAACCAGTTTGCTAATGAAAATGTACTGGGGGACTTTGTCAGATGCTTTGGTGAAATCAAGATCAATAACATCTATAGCATCACCACAATCCACTAAATTAGTAACCTGATCAAAAAAACAAAAAGCTAGGATTAATCTGGGAGGATTTATTCCTGATAAATCCATGCTGGGTCCTACTTAATATTGTATCATTATCAAAATGATCACAGACTGACTGCTTAACATTCTCTTCTAGTGTCTTCCTTAGTATGAAAGTTAGGGCTGACTGGTCTGTAGTTTCTTGGAACCTCCTTTTACCACATTTCCAATCCCTAGTGCTGTAGTACCTCACCCATTCTCTGGGCTTTGCCAAGAATTACGGAGGTTTTGAGGATACATCAGCAAATTTATTGAATTCTCTAGGATGCAAATCATCTGGTCCTGAAGATTGGAACTCATATAAGGTAGCCAACACCTTCTCAATCTTGAATTACAATCCTAACTCCTCACCAACTGCACTACTTATGTGAGGGTGCACACAGTGGAACAAGATGTAAGCAAACTTGGCATCGAGCAATTTTGCATCATTTTTCTCACCCATTAATATTTCATGGTTCTGAGTCATGGTCCCATCTTTTTCTTTGTCCTCTTGCTTTGAATATACCTGAAAAACACCTTTCTGTTAGCTGACTATGTTTGTCTGGATCTTTAGTTTTCCTGATGCTGACCTTATAAATCTGGGCTATATGTCTATATTTGTCCTCAGTTGCCTCTACTTCCATCTGTATAAGTGTCCTCTTTATTTTCAGCTTCTCACTGAGCTTTTTGTGCAGCCACATTGGCTTTTTAGCTCTCCCTCTCTTTTTCTTTATTTGCGGTACTGAATTATTTCATTTCTGTACTACCCAGTAGCTGGTAACTCTGAGTTTTTCTTTGTGTAACTCTTTCTACAAAAACTTCCATCCATCTTTGGCTTCTCTCCCTATTATTATATCAAATCGTGGAATCCTACCTAGCATTGCCCTGAGCTCATTAAAACCAGTTTTCCCAGACCTAAGCTACACACTGATCATACAAATGATCATAAATGCCAGCATTTTACAGTCTCTCCCTGTGCTCAAATTCCCACAATTTTAATCTGACTAACTTTTCCCTTTTAAGTAATATTGATAGCTAAAGATTGGTGGCCAATTGTTCCTTCCTTTACCTTCTGAAAGAGAATGTTTTCAGCAAGGATGGAGATCCCATTCTTAGCAATTTGTCCCAGCAGCTATCAAAGCAGTTAAAGTCTACCAATACTACTTTTTGCCTCCCTAAAATATCTTTGTTCATGA